GCATTTGTATCAAATAATGTAGTAAATGCTGATTCTGCTAGTATTACTAATTGCAGAATTTTAAACTTACCACATCTATTCAAGGCCTCACTATTTTGTATCCATTTCTCTTTTGTTCCTCAAATTTATACAATGAATCAATGGTATCTGATTGAATTAAAAACTGTTGATCCCTAAGGGTTCACAGCTGCTGGAAAGCCAACATGAGGGATTTTCCATCTCAGTGATTCTCACCTTCTAGTTAGTCAGAGCCACATGAAAGTCATCTATGGTACTCAGTTTTGTTCTCTTAAGAGTCACATCTATAGTATTCATCTTTGTTCTTTAGAAACTTAGAAGCAAAGAAACAAGCAAAAATAGAGTAATTTTTATTCAACTTTAAATTAAAACGCACATTTGAAAACTAAATCCAGACCATGATTTATAAGGAAATTAGATAAGCACTTTGCACAAGATTTTGTGTTTTGCATTATAAGCCTAATTTTAGTTGCACTGTTGTCTAATGAAAAACAGATATGGGTAATGATTACTGTTAACTTGTGGATAACTTCTTGGAAAAACAATGAGAAAACTTGATACTCATGAGTATCTACTTATTTATTTTTATTAACAACACAAAGCCAACGGTAAAGGCCCTGTCCTAGTCGGCCTTTACTGTTATCACAGCCTAGAACCAACTGAGAAGAGAAACTCTATCCTGAAATGGCCAAGGTCAGACAGATCTGTGAGCACTTGTGTGAAGGGACTTGCTGGATCTAGGAGAGGCCACTGTAAGCAATTCCTACTCTGGGAGGATAGTCCTGGATGAGATAAGATCAAGCCTGAAAGTGGACTAGAACAAATATTCCTCCATGGTTTCTGCTTCAGGTTACTGCCCTAAATTTTTGTCTTGACTTTTTTCTATGGGCTGTGACTGGAAGTGTCTGTCAATCAAATTCCTTCTTCCTCTATTTGCTTTTGGCCTTAGTTTATCACAGTGACCAGAAATAGGAAGGGAGGTCAAATAAACCCATTTCTGACACTGAAATCTTCTAGTGATATGAAGACGGTGTGAAATTATTTAAATGGGACTTAGAACTGTAAAAATACTGTGACTTCCATTGTAAGTTTCTGAATTTTAGTCTTATTATCTTGAATTAGTCATTCCTACTTGCATAAAACTCAGCCAGATAATTTTCCTATCTCAAATTCTATGCCATTTTATTATTTTAGATTGTAAAGCGTTAAAATTTTCTGCTTAGCCCTTTTGCAGATGTGCATGTGATAATAATCGGACTGCAATAATATCACTTCCATCTATCCACAGAGCTAAACCAGACATTTGTAAAGGCCTTACTTTTAGTTTAATGGTAGATATGCACATGAAAGCACATAAAATTTAATGTAATGTCAAGATGAAAAACAGGAGATCAGTGACAAGCTGCCTTCTGACCATAGTGTGGTTCTTGCAATCATGAACATACACGAGCTATGTCTACCTGTGCATGATCTGTACAGAGAAAAATCATGGCAGCATGTAGACTACTGGGAAGTACAATGGGTCAGTTCAGCATGAGAAAATGTCTGAAGAGTGTGTGGTGACTATGATTATGCTGCATTTCACACATATACAAAACATCAAAGAATTTCAAATATTCATGCTATTATTTATTCTTTAGTCTTACTGCAAAAAAAAAAAAAAAAAAAAAAAAAAAAAAAAAAAAAAAAA